TATGATGAGTGGTGTATGATGAGTGGTGTATGATGAGTGGTGTATGAAGAGTGGTGTATGATCAGTGGTGTATTGAGTGTCCGTAACACGGAAGTCTTGCACACTAAACTTCCTTTGATTAGTGACCAATTTTGTTTCGCCTTCTTTCGCCGAAAAGAGAAGTCACTGCATCGGGAAAGCAGTCACGATGGTTGTGCACACAGCCTGCTTGTCATGATTGTGAACAAGCCTCGCATCCTTAGGTCTGCTCATTTTGCTCGAAAATGCAAGGGTCCGAATCAGAATCCACGTTTCTCGCGACCGAGTGCTTCGAAGCATGCAAGCGCTGTCACCTCGATATCAAAAAGGTGATATTCTGCACGAAGCCGGTGTGCGAGGGTTGCGGAGAACCAGCTCAACCAGGGACAGGTTGTGAACCGATGCAGTTCTCGGACATGTCGGCTGAGGCCAAGGGGCTTGGACTCTTTGAAGAGTGTGATCAAGGGTGAGAATGACCCCTCCAAAGTTGAGGTCTCACCAGTGACGCAGACTAGCTTAGGGGAAAGAACTTGAAGAAACCTGCCTACGTTTGAGCCTTGAAAGACGCTGGGCGTTGCTCAAGTCGATTGATTATGATTGATTGTTTAGACCTGCACCTGGTGCAAAAAGAAAACACCAACCAGAAGCCTTTGTGGAAAAGTGTTCTGCTGAAGGCATGATGCTGTTTAGGAAGTCTAAGTTATTTTGACATGTTCATGAGTGGCATATGGCCAGGGACATTCGTGCGGGCATTAGCAGTCATCAGTCATTATTCGGGCTCGATGTCAAGGACTTTGAACAAGGAAGCAGTCACTGATCATAGCGCAAGCTGCAGGCATGGAAGTGCAAGTATATAAAGGAAAGAGCACCTTTGTCTTTGTTCGAGCCACGTCGAGAAAGCAATCCGTATTGATCGTTGAGATCGGCCACAATGCATGCTGCAGCTGTCCAGAGAATTTGCTTGGTTTCACGTCATGTTTTCTTCAACCAAATGGGCCATCGCTCACCAGCCTGTGACTCAGATCAGCTTTGATTGCGCTATTGTTGAGGCGCTTGACAGTTGAACCCGGCAAACTACTCCCTGCTGCAGCATGCTTTCTTGAGGTGTTTCCTTCGTCGATGTGTTCATTTACACAAAGAAAAGTGACACAAATGGCAACAAAGCTCCCAGATGGATGTTTTTACTTTTTGCATTTTGTCGTGTCTGGCACGTGCCTAAGGGGTCATGAGGTGCAACAGACCTGAGTTCCGGGGAATGTTTGTTTCTTCTGCCTGTGTTTCTTGTGGGCAACAAGTTCTTATCCTGTTCCTTGTCGCTGAAATGCAATAAACTAGACATCGATGAACACTGAAACACTGCAGTTTCTTGCAAGCGCAATATAGAGCCAGAGAGCATGAAACTATTCTTGGGTAGGATAGGCAGTTTGGTAGTATAGGCCAACTGTCCAAACACAGAATACCAATCTCACAAAAGACACCCATTCAGAGAACCTCCCACCCAATATATGATTCTTGGATGTATCGTTTATTTTTCGTCACGGCTTGGATGCATTGGGCTGCATCAGTGGACGGAATTAGGTCCTTCCTTGATTGGCAGTAGCTGTGCGAGATAGCGATACCGCATGGCTAGTTCACACTTGTGGTGTACAAACATGTTTTATGGTTGAGGTTTAATTTCTGATCAAACGTTCTTTGTTCTTTGGTAATGATGTAAACTATATACGTGCGTGTGTATATTTATAATATATACAAATATATATATATATATTTGTGATACCCGCCCCTGAGACCCACCTTTTTACACTTTTCAGTGGTGTTTACAGTGGATTATGCACATTTTGATGTACTTTTTTTGAGGTCATATTTTTAGTTGAAGTTTTAGATGGACTGCGCTCAAAAAGCCCTACTCAAAAAATATTGATCAACGTAAACTTTTAAGGTTGGAGATGTGTTTTTAAGTCTTCGTTTAGAAGCCGGCCCCCAGCAGACTATGGTGATACAGCAAGGCAGCGCTAGATTGGCGCTAGGTTTCGTCATAACAGGATAAGCAAGCAGGAACAAGAAGAAACAAGCAGAGAGCAGGAAAGACATAATCAAGACAAGAAAAAGGAAAAACAAACAAGAAGAAGAAGAAGAAGAATGATAATGTACAACAAGAAGACAAGCAAACAGGAAAACTAAGAATCTGACAGGATAAAGAAATCGACAGATATTTTTTGCGCTAGGCTGGCGCTACTAGATCCGCGCTAGTCTTGCTTTTGCTCAATGTGATTTTTTTTGGCAGGGTCTTGCTTTCAACCGGGTGCGCCAGTGGACATGTCGGTGAATCGTCGCTGCGTCAGCCGCCGTTCGACAGGGGTCACGGCGCGGGGGCAGGGGGGTCAGGCAGTGTCGTAGACAACCTACTTCACAAAGTTGGCAGAATAGCTCACAAGACCAAGATGTGGTAGAGCTCAAGTCAAACTGCAGTCCATCATTTTTATGTTCACATTTAGTCCGCGCGACGGCGATGGAAGATGCCATCAGAAAGCTCATTGCCCGGAGTCTCAATCATCACAGAGAGAGAGAGAGGGACGGGGCGAAGGCGCTTTCTCAATCACCACAGAGAGAGAGAGAGAGAGAGAGAGAGAGAGAGAAAGAGAGAGAGAGAAGGACGGGGCGAAGGCGTTTTTGGTCACACAGTGTTTGTATTCGTTGGCTGGGCTCAGGCTGGCTGAACCAATGAATGACTGCAAGGTTTGACAAAGGTCACTCTTCCTCCCAAGCTCAAAGTAACCGAAAGTATAAAGGCCACTAGTGCTCCAAAACCAAGGCCACTAGTGAAGTTCACATGCGCACTTGCCATTCGGAGGGTCTGTGTGCATTTCAGGGCCGGGCTGCAAGCGCTTGTGCTGCCATGGCTGAGTTCAGCGACTTCAATGCAACGCATGCCAACAAGGAAGCGATGGACAAGATGGCTAAAGCATTGGCAACTTGAAACACTTGGTCAGTCCAACTTTTCATTTTCCTTTTGCTTTTATTTCTGAGGGGGTATTTGATCTTCCCTTTGCATCCAGAGCCGAATTGGATCATTTTTCCCAGGGTCAGTTACAAGCATGCACACGCAAAGGAAACCATCACGAAGCGGGACTTGCGATTCGGATCCTCGGAGAGGAAGTTGAATGTGGCAGAGCTTCCGGCTAGCGACGCCCACATGACTGTGATCACTCCAAAGCTGCTGGAAAAGGCTTGGAAGAAGGAGACCGGTGAGGATCCAAGCAAGTCTATGAAGTTCACTTTGAAGGGTGTTGGAAATCCATTTGTGCCTTGGTGAGTTGGCATCCAAATTTCCACCAGTTTTGGCAAATGGGGATTGTATAGTATAATAATGCCACCTGCGGCTTGGTTGTGTAGATCCAACTTTTTGCTGGGCACTTGAGGCTCTGATGGATTGCACCCGCTTGGCCGCTCCAGCAGGCACTCTTAGGACAGCTGCGGTCGATGAGCTGAAGGCTCACTTCTTTGGTTCGCCAGCGGCGCTTCCAGACACGCTGCAGCTGGAGATGATTGCGAGGGGCAAGGAAGAAGCCTGCGGCAAGAAGCCCTTGATCAGGCGAGGCTTTCCTCTCACAGTGACAGCCTTTCTTTTAGTCAATACTTGCGAGTTAAGAGGTACCTTTTGCATGTGCCCGCTGGAAATTATTCTTCCTAGCCCTTCCCGGTTAAGAGTTTCTGTTTGGTGTCAGGTTTTCAGAGGATGAGCCTTGGTTGGCCTTCTTGGAGGCAATCGCTGAGAGCATTGGGCGCGGCGAGGAGGCGGAGTGGCTGCGCTTCATCCTCTCCGTCCCCATGACGGTCATCGTGAATGCAGACCTGTCTGATTTGGATCTGGAGAAGCAGAGAGTCGTGAAGTCTGAGGAGATTCAAAAGGCAAGGGGGCTCTTAATGTAATTTGCCCGAGCGCCACCACTTTTGTGTTAGTCTTACTTAGTGTAGATTTGACTCCCTAGTTGACATCCCTCAGTTGACTTCTTCCTTTTGTCTTAGCCAG